AAGATGTTTAATAAAGTCACATAAATTCCTAACACTGTTATGTATTGTTATACATGCCTTTCCATCAGGTTTTAGCATCCCAACATCACTTCTGCTGTGCGGGTCAAAGAAAAAGTATCTTTGCTCACACATGAATATAGCACTTGTATAATATGGCTCTGAATTCCCCATTGTGTAAATACAGCTTTCATGCTTGGAAAATAAATTCTCAAGAGCATCATATAATGAGTAAAATGGGATGTTTGTTTCTCCATTTAGTAAACCATGAAAATGTTCAGTAAAAACTGCCACATTGTTTGGAATGTCGTCAATAAGCAAGTATTTATTTTCTTCTTTAGCTATGGTTTCATATAATTTATCACCAAGTGCAAGTATACAGTCTAAATTTGAAGTGGTCCACAAGCTTGGACAAGTAACACTTCGTTCTAATAATGCCACAACAGAGTTTGCTACACACTGACGACCATTTGCCTTGTATAACGGATGCCCTTGATGGAATGAAGCTTGAAGAATCTGCATCTTGATATAATTTCATGCTCCTACAATATTTTGTTTATACATAAATTTTACTTTCTTCCATCAAATTTTTATGTCAAACTGTTATGTATTTTTACATAATCATAATCTGAAGAAAATTAACTTACTTTTATAATAACTAATTATTTTGTATTTATTTTATTTTTTAATTTATATCATATTAATCATATTTAAAATATATTATAATAATTATTATATTATATTTATTCATTTTATTTTATAATAATACCTTTTTTAATCAATATTTTAATGTAAATTAGATTGACTTTTTGAATATTTTTTATGTTTAAAAAAAAAAAAAAAAACTTTTCAAATGTATTTCATTTTTTAAACTAACCTTTTAAAAATATTAAATTTAAAAAATATAAATAATCTTACCGTTTAATGGTCATCTAAAGTCATTAATTCATTTTATTTATATAAAATGCTGCCCACTATTACTACCTTTTACATCAGTGAAGTATCTTTTTACAACAAAAAATAATGATGTCATGAATCTATGAATCTATGATGTCATTAATGAGCTAAAGAGTAATCCTCGATTACCTCCCTTGAGTTTTATTTGCTATTTTTAGCCACAACAAACTTAAAGTGCCTTTACTTTAACAAGAACAATATGCAAAAGTTATTATATCCAAAATAAAATATTGAAAAAAAGACTTTTATTTGATTTTTTGAAAATCAAATTGAGTTACAACCCTTTCGCACCAAGATTATACTTTATGTTTTTAGTGCGAAAGGGTTGTAACTTGAGTTACAACCCTTTCGCACCAAAAATTAATGCACATTTGAGATACAACCTTTGTTCAAATACAAAAATTGAAGTTAATATTTTTAATACCAGCTTAAATTTTTTTCTACAAATAAACATATAAAAATTATGCTGAAAAATGGAAAAAAGTCATTTTTGAAAAAAAATGTGAGTTACAACCCTTTCGCACCAAGGCATCGATATGCTCGCATATAGGAAGCTATTTGAAAACTCGGCCTGCCACACAAGTTAATCGGCAATCACCATCGCGGCGAGAAAAGGTGGAAATATTTCCAGATTGATAGTGTTAATTTGATAAACATATTTATGAAAATTTTCTCGGAAATTCGACACAAAATATATGTGGCTTTGCTTTGTCTGACGTCGAATTTTAAATTTTTTAATTGATATGCTACTGACACGTGGAAGTGTGAATGCATAAATCATGGCCTTCAATATGAAACAAATATCCCTTGGGACGAAACCCAGACGTTCCTGGCCAAAAAAATAAAGATTAACTGCGAACAAAAATATCAAGTCCTCGAAGATGCATTCGCGGTATCATCATATATTTGTGTATACCGATGAAATTAAAGACAGCACTCTTGATGTAATTCAAGTACACTTTTCAGTAGGGTTGATTGGCGGATTCAATCCATCATTTTACACAATTATCAAATAAGCTATTGCAATGACCGTTATATGTAGAGTGGAATGCCAAAGTTAAGCATCTTGACGCGAGAAAATGCGAGATGTTTATCGCCATTTTCCCCGTTATTTTTCCGTACGTCTACCAGTAAAATCAGCGCTTAACAAACATCTTGTCAGCACATGGGGTCCTGACAGAGTAATTACTAATTTGCAACCGTTAATTCTATAACAGTAAATAAAATTATCACGGGGAAAGATTTTTACAGGACCACTAATTGCGTCATATAATACTGATTGTTAATAAATCATTATTTAACTGATTCATGTGTTTTGGCATTTAAAAGAATATTCTACATTGACAATGTCTGCTTAGACATAACATTATTATAAGTAAAATTACCTGATTTATAAAGAAGTTGGTATTACATGCAATACAAAAACTGTTGTGGAACAAGAAAAAGATGATGTTATAATATATGTAATAATATTGTGTGACTCTGTTGATACAAGTACGAAAGTGTATTGCAAGTAAATAACAAATTTTGAACGGTCACTTATACCCCCACTTCTCCCTTTGAATGCTATGTAACTAAAAATTAAAACATGAAAAAGAATAAAACGTATATGGCACGAGGATGAACATTAAACGTAGTATTTTATCTTTTATCATCATTTTACAATTTGCCATTCATTACTAAGTCTTATTAATCACTTTATTGAATTAAATGAATTTTAATCACATTTAAATGGAATAAAGACGAGATATTGATTAAGATTATGCCATAATGTATTTTTTATGAAATTCATACGGGATTTCTTAACATTTAGATTATTTTAGAAATTTAGATTCTTCAGGTCTGCACTTTGTCTCAATTAACTCGCAACTTTGTGATGAAACAATGGCTGTCCTTTCTCTGCTTTTAAAATGTCTTAAAACTATTTGCGTATTTCCTGTGATTATCTTTTGTCTGCATTTTGTAATATATTTTTATTGCTTTCAAGACTTCCCAATAAATCTGGCAGGTGAAACAAATGTTTCATTTGCATTCCTAGTTATCAGTCACGTTGATTCGGTCTAAATCAGAATCCTATTTATTATCGCATTTAACAGTGAGCGTGCTCCAGCATAAAGTGCAGAAACTGCCATGTACTACATTCTTTCAAAAGCAAATAAAATATTTTATATTGTCTCACCGTCACTTTATTGCCGAACCAAGAACATTTTTAAATATGTCTTAATTTCCCAAACTGAAGTTAAATTGATTCTGTTCTTTGAAAAAAATCACTTTAATACAACATTGTCTTGAAAACTATGCAGATTAACAAGTATATTTTCACACATAAGATTTACTTTAATATGTAACAGGTAAAGTCCAAAACCGAAATATTTCTTGTTGGCTAATATCTGTTCGTCATTACATTTGTATATTGGTTGAAATGTACTAACAAAATAAAAGCTTAAAGACTTTTTTCGGAAATATCGAGACTATCAATAAATCATTTCAAATGATTTAGTTTCAAATATAAAAATATTTAGTTTCAAATATAAGTACAAGACACTTTATCGTCTCGGGTGGTAAAGAAATGACCCTTTTCTTTATGTAAGTACCTAGAATTAAAAGTTATTTTCAATCATCATTTTCTTATAAAAAATATACACAAAAAGAATACAATAATTTGAAGTATGTTTCAGTCTGCTTAACAAGTATTTTGAGTTTGACGGAAGTTAAAATTGAGTTTTCTTTATGTCGTTATATGTTTCATGTCAAAACTACAATTAACAACAACAAACCAGTTAAAATGCATTGTAAATTGTGAGTATTCATATTCTTAGTTCTTTCCTAAAAGTTCTTGTTTGATATTTGGAATAAGTACCCTACCTGTGCAATCGTACATTTAAAGACAATTATAAATCTCGAATTACTGATGTAATTGAATTAATTTAAAAAATAAGTTCAACCATAAGACATTTCATAGAAAACAGACATCCCTTTAGAATTACAAAATTTCATTATGGAGATATATTTTCAAAGAGCAAACTCTCTGCCCAGACTGATTTTATCTCCACAATATAACAGAAATGTATTTTTCTGTGGTTTTCTAGATCAGCTTCTTTGTTAAATCTGAGAAGTGAAGTTGCATTTGATTCAACTGATTTATATTACAAATTAACTTTACTCCTGTGCAAGCCGAACAAATCTACAAGATTCCATATTAATTTATGCACATATTTCAATATTTGTATGCAAGTTCGCAAACGAATGTATTTGGGAAAAGAAAACGTTTAAAGATGTAAGTATACAAGTCACATGCAAGAAATATAAAGTCTTACAATACCATCGGAAGAAATAGAGGATATTGAATGAGTGTAAGTTCAATACTGAATTTATTGCACGAGTTGAATAAAAATATATTATGCGAGCCTCTGGCGAGCATAATATTATTTTATTCAACGAGTGCAATAAATTCAGTAATGAACTTACACGAATTTAATATTCTATTTATCACATACCAAAAATAAAGACCGTTTAAAGTGAAACAAGAGTAATTTTGCATTGACGCGCCTATAGTATAATGTTAACATTTAGCCCGTCTTTACACTATGTTTGTATAACGCTAATGACGTCACGTCAAAATATATGCACGGCCGTGCAATACCATATTTACGGAGTCGCAAAATCGGCACGGGTGTGTGATAAATAGAGGATATTAAATGAGTGTGGATTCCGTATCGAATTTATTGAACGAGTTGAATAAAACGGTATGAAGCGAGCCTCTGGCGAGCTTCATACCGTTTTATTCAACGAGTTCAATAAATTCGATACGGAATCTACACGAATTTAATATTCTATTTATCACATACCCTAAAAATACTATCAAAATACTCCGAAAACAAATGCAGCGGTTTCACTCTTCTACTATAAACGAAAGTGACACATGCGTACTTAGGCTGTTTTAATAAGCGCATGAAAAATAGTTCCGTTATAAATATAAAATATAAACGCATGTAACAATTTATAACAGTTTCTTTTATTAACTTTCACGTTCATTTTATGAAATCAAAATTTTAATGTAATGAAAAGGTAATGTAGAAACCATGCTTTGGTAAATGTCTATCCAATGTGTACTTTGTGACGTGTACACAAGTTATCATCGGCATGTATATTATGCGGACAGTTCAAAAAATGTGTTCACCTTATTCAGTTTCTATATCGCTGTCAAGCACACGAAGTCGTTTGTGTTTTGGTTGGTCTGGTGATCTACTACTCTAAATTGACATTGATGTAAATTGTTCCTCCGTAGACAGGAGCACTTCATACCGAGTGAATACCTCCTGAGACATTAATCGTTTGTGTTGATTCATGACGGAATGAGTTTGCCGAATTGAACGATTGATGAGGTTGACGTGACCTTGCAGAGTTCTCAGAATTTTGTGTATTGGAGTTTTCACATGTGTTTTGATGAAGGATTTGAGATATATTCCTATGCTGGTCGTTGTTAATATGACTATATTTGTTGATTGAAGAGACGTTTCTGTGGCCGGAAATTTGTGCAATATGTGTTGGTGGAACATTACTGTCAGACAATTTTTGGATCAGATATTTTCTTGCACTATGATTTGACAATTTTTTACTCGTTGGAATGTTAGCATTTTTGACCATAGTTGACATCATGTTGCCGAGTTTGTTGATTCCAACAGCATTTTTCTTGAACCAGGTTTCTTCTTCAGAAGGTAAGGGTTTTGTTGTTGTTGCAATGTAGAATGGATTGTGTGGAAGCGAATAACCAGCTGGGCGTTTATTTGCATATATTTTGTATATTTTGATGGGGCATCGATCAGGGTTAGAAACTTTCGCCCATAACTTTGGTGTAACTTCTCGGATATTTCGAGGATCATTTCCAGTGCGTGTTTTAGTTTGACGTTCGCAAAATTCTAAATATTCATGACCGTTTGTGTTGGATTTTAATGTTACGTCTCCCCAACACATATCACGATGTTCGGACCTCCCACGTAAACCAAAATGAACAGTATTATAGAACCATAAAATCTGAAGTATTGAATCTGGGGTTTCACTGCCCAGTTGTTTTTTCTGCCATAATATTTCTATTTCTTGGTCATTAATAGGGTCTGCTTTATTTGGAAAATTACCCTTGCCTTCCCTTTTTAGGAGTTTCTGCTTGCTTTTTAATACTTCACGAACTTGTGAAAATTTTGGGCTAGTAGCTATGTATTCACCGTAATTAAATCGGCGTAGCTGACGGTCAAAGCTTGACATCATACCCCTTAAGGAAGTCGGTTCATACTCGGACCCGTTACTTTTCCTCACAGTAATGAAAAACCTTGAAAGAATGGTAGAAAGTTCAGCGGGTGGGATATTTTGAATTTCTCGACTTTCATTTATTTCAGGTTGTTGAAGAAATTCTTTTAAAATTTTAATATCATACAGTGTTTTTGACAAGGTATTTTGATTACTTTGTCCAAGAATAAATTCTTCAATGTTGACATTAGTACTGGACAAAAATCTTGCATGATTTTCCGTCGTCTGCAAACGCTCACTTTCAAAATTTGACGATGGTATTAGCGATAAACGTTCAGCTTCTAGTTCTACTTCAAAGTCAAAGTCTTTCATTTTGACCATATAAAATGTTCCAAACCCACGGTGAACCCTTTGGAGGACGGTTGCTTCCCCTTTTCCGTCAATGTGTACCGATTGACCCACTTGAAAATTTAGGTCAGCCATATTGTTTTTGTTGACAAGCGGCGTAGGAATACATTTCATGTGAAACGGTTCATTAGCATATTATATGCACGGCCGTGCAATACCGTTTTTACGGAGTCGCAAAATCGGCACGGGTATGTGATAAACAGAAATAACAAACGAGCAACATACAAAACCAATACACGACAAACGCTGTGATATCGGCTATGTTATTCGTCTAAAATATACTACCGTTTCATAAAAACACAGCCCTGAAATAAAACAACTAAGCATTAATTAATAAAAATAAAATTGGTATTGTTAGAGGTTATAATTGAATGTTTTTATGGGCAGTGATCATAAAGACAATTTCAGTGTCAGAATAGATTGAACATGTGTATCTTAATAAACTGTAGTCATTCCATTTGCCTATCAAAGTAACCCTAACCTGTTTTAAATCTTGTACTTTACTTCACAAAAAATAAAAAACCCAACATGATTAATGGACAATTCTATGCATATACTTCAGAACGTCTGTAACAGTTTTATGTTTTGTGTGTGTGTGTGTGTGTGTGTGTTTGTTTGTTTGTTTGTTTGTTTGGATTTTTACGGCACGTCAACACATAACTGGCAATATCGTGCCGAATGCTATAATAGGCTAAAAATGTTATGTAAAACTTGTAAATGACAATAAAAATGAGTTAATTAGATCCTAGAATACAAATTTATCTCTTTTTAATAATCAATGATGTTTTTTTGATGGAATTGTATTAAAGAGTTCTATGAGTAAATTTACAGAATAAAATCTATTACGGGCCTGTGAAAAATCATGACATTCAAGAAGAAAATGCTTGACAGTAAAATTTTCATTACAACCTATACAGAAAGGGGCATTGTCATTCGTGAGGAGATAAGAGTGGGTAATTTTAGTGTGTCCAATTCGGCATCGAAGAAGATCTGTTTGATCATGGCGGTTTGCCAGAGATAGAGATGGTGACACATCAAGAGATGGGTTTATATCGTGAAGTTTATTAAAAACGGCATTGTCCCAATTTGCTTTCCATTCAGATGATACGAGCCTATTTATAGCCGGTCCAAAATCACAAGCAGGTAACAATAAGTCAGTTTTTTGAAAATTAAATGATTGTTTAGCTAAAGCATGCATCTACTTTTTCATTTCCTCGTATACCTACATGACTTGGAATCTAATATAATTTAACATATTTTGTTTTAAGTATATCATGAAATCGTGAAAGAAGTTTCTTTATCATGATATTGTCAGAATTTTTATTTTTAATGGATATTAAAACAGAAAGCGAGTCAGAAAATATCACAAATTTATCATGGGTATGCTGTTCTATGTATGGCAATGCTAAATCTATAGATTTTGTTTCAGCTTATACTAGATGTAAAATTATTTTCAAACACAGCCGCACCTACCTTGCAACCTTCTTTTGAACCGTCCGTATAAATATGTATAAAATCTTCATGTTCTTCCTTACTTGCTAGAAACTTCTCTTTAAAATGTTCAGGTGAATTTGATGACTTTTTCTTATATTTGAAAGGTTAATATTTATTTTTGGGGAATGATGAGTCCTAAATTAAGGTTTGATAATAATATTTTTAGCTGGATTTTTGCTATTAGATGAAATTCTAGTTGAATATTGAAGTGATAGCTTTTTTCGACGAAGATGAAGTGATTGTTCCCCAGCTTCCGCATATAGACTTTCTACAGGTGAGGTGCGAAAAGCATCTAAAGCTAAACGTAAACCCTGGTGATGTATGGTATCTAGCATTTGAAGATATGATTTTCTTGCAAATCCATATACTACAGAACCATATTCTAATTTTGATCGGATAAGACTTCTGTATAATTTCAATAATGTGGAAGAATTTGATCCCCAATTTGTACTTGATAAAACCTTAAGTAAATTTAAAGCCTTTAGGCATTTAGTTTTCAAATGTTTAATATGTGGTATGAAAGAAAGTTTTTTATCAAATTCCTAAAAACTTAGCTTCATCAACTACTGGAATTTTAGAACCAGATATGTAAAGTTCAGGGTCATTATGGTGTTTCCGCAATCGACAAAAATGAACACATTGAGTTTTTGACTTTGAAAATTTAAAACCATTTTCTATTGCCCACTTTTGAATTTTATCTAAATTTAGTTGAAGTTGCGTTTCAATTGTTCTCATACTTTTCGATCGATAGCAGATAAGAAAATCGTCTACATATAGAGAACAGTCTATGCCTGGTGTTAGAGCGCTAGCAATATTGTTTATTTTAAGGCCAAAAAGTGTAACAGAAAGTATGCTTCCTTGAGGAACACCTTGTTCTTGTTGGTGGTCCTCAGAAAAGGTTGAACCAAGTCTTACTTTAAATTGCCTATCGTTTAGAAATCCAGAAATGAAAAGAGGAAGTTTGCCTTTAAGTCCAGCATCCTTTAGATCTTTTAGGATACCATACTTCCAAGTAGTATCGTAAGCCTTCTCAAGATCAAAGAAAATTAATACCAGATGTTGTTTATTTACAAAGGCTTCTCTAATAAAAGTTTCACGTCGTACAAGATGATCGTTTGTACTTCGCTGTTTACGAAACCCTCACTGAAAAATTAGTGATAATTCCATTATTTTCTAGATACCAAATTTACCGTCTATTTATCATTCTCTCGAATGTTTTGCAGAGGCAACTTGTAAGTGAAATTGGACGATAATTTGTAGGGTCAGTTGAATCTTTTCCAGGTTTAGGGATAGGAATGACCAACGTATTTTTCCAAGTGTTTGGAAATTTACCAGATACCCAAATTTTGTTAAAAATTTCAAGAAGCAAGTCAAGAGATTGGGGTGGTTAATGTTTAAGAAACGGGTAGTAAATTTCGTCCGGGCCTGCAGCACTATCTTTTGCAGTTTTGATTGAATAATTTAAGTCATCAATAGAGAAAAGGGAATTATAGTCTTCATCGTTTGTTGAAGTAAAATTAAAATGTTCTTTCTCAGCTTTACATTTATGGTGTTGAAATTCATTTGAATAATTGTTTGAAGACGAGTTCTTTTCAAAAGTTTTAGCCAAAGTTTCTGCAATATCCGTTTTTGTTTTGGCATATTGACCATCACCAGTTTTTAAGTGAACAGTTGGACTCTTTTTATACTTACCATTTATTTTTCGTACTGCATCCCAGACTTTCCTAATAGGAGTATTTGAATTGATATTTGAAACATATGATTGCCATGATTGGCGTTTAGATTGACGCATTGATCTTCTAGCTTTGGCTCTAAATATTCTATAATTTTCAAGGTTTAATGTTGTAGGGCGATGTTCAAACCTTTTAAGTGAAGCTTTACGTATACGAACGGCTTTTTTACATTCATCGTTAAACCATGTCTTTTTGATTTTGTTACTTTTATTATATTTTGTTAATGGAATAACTTCGCAGGCAATCGTATGTTATGTTGAAGAGAAAGTTTCAGCTTTATCAGCAGAAGTGAAATCAAATTCATTTTTTGTTAGATCAATAGAACAGAGCCTATTAAATGTTTCCCAATCTGCTTTCTTAAATTCAAAAATTTGACGTCCTTCATCTGGTAAAGAGTCATTTGATGCTAGTAACAATGAATAATGATCACTGCCGTGCTGGTCATCTAAAACTTTCCAATCGAAGTCCAAGTATATAGCAGAGTGGACAATCGAGAGGTCGATGCAAGAAAACGTACCTGTAGCTGGATGTAATTATGTAGGTGACCGATTGTTTAATTAACAAATCTGAAAGTTATCTATCAATTTTTCAGTCATGTTACCCTTATTATTTGTAGATATACTGCCCCACATATGATTATGAGCATTAAAGTCGCCTAACAAAAGGAAAGGTGATGGTAATTGTCGAACAATACTTTCAAGTTCATTACTTGTTACCGTAATATTTGGAGGAAGGTATAGAGAACAAATCGTTAGTGGTCGATGTAAGGTCACCTGCACAGCTATAGCTTGTAATCTTGTGTTAAGTTTTAATTCTTTTTGAGGAACGCAATTTGCGATAGCAATGCTTGTACCACCTGATGTTCTGGCGTTACTAGTGCATATATAGTTAAAAAGTGTATAATCTTTTATAGAGATATTATCTTTAGGAGATAACATAGTCTCCTGAAGACATAACATATTTGGAGAGAATTTCGATAAAAGTAGAAGTAGATCATTATAATTTGACTTAAGACTACGGCAATTCCATTGTAGGATGGAATGTCTTCTATAATCCATTTTAAAAAATATTTATATTAAGTAGGAAACTTTATTGGACTTCTATCATTCGGAGTTCGAGGAGGGGAGAGGTATAAATCCTCATCCTCCATCAATTCGGTGTCGTGAAGTAGGTCGAACCGATTTTCTGTGTTGATCGGGTTCCGCATTGCTTTTTTTACCCGATCTGTGATGACAATTCGCTTTTTGGGCGATTGTTTTTGACAAACTTTCTCAGACGATGCTTTTTGAATGTTTGTAGTTTGCTTCTTTGGAGAAGACTTTGATGGTGACTGAGTCTGCACAGAGGTAGACTGTTTAATTTGTGAAGCTGTATGCTTTTTAGGTAATGGTAACTTAATTGGAGGGCATTGGCATAACTTGACTTGTACTGCAGAGTCAACCATTTTAACAGATTTTGTAACTGCAGCTGAATACGACAGTTGTTTTGGTCCTTGTGATTCAACAAGCTTTCGTGCATCTTGAAAGGAAATATTTTGCGTATACTTTTGACGAAGAATTTCTTTTTACTTTAACCACAAGGGGCATGACCGGGAGGTGGCGTAATGCTCTCCTCCACAGTTTGCACATTTAGCAGGAACGTTACAAGTCTCATTTTTGTCATGGTTTGAGCTGCATCTGCGGCAAATAGTCTGCCTTACGCAATTTGATTCATGGTGACCAAATTTGAAGCATTTGTAACATTGCATTGGGTTTGGAATGTAAACCGCAGTGTGTGTGTGAGTGTGTGTGTTGGTGCGTGTGCGTGTGTGTTTTGTTGTTTTATTTGTAACCGTTGTTTTTATTCTTGCAGTGTCGGGGTGTTCTAAAGAGGTTTTATTTTGTTTTTCTTTTCTCAATTTTTGATAAGTAAGATTTTATTACATAAACTAGTACTAATCTAGGTTGGACGTTATAATTATAGTGTTTTGCGCATT